GTTGGTGCCACAGGAAAAGCCCTGAAGGATGTCATTGTTGTTGGTGCCACAGGAAAAGCCCTGAAGGATGTCATTGTTGTTGGTATCGGTGGCAGCTTCTTAGGTCTTCTTCAAACAGGTTTAGATGATGCTTTCCATTTTGTCAATTTATAACCTCTATTTTGCAGTCTTGTTTACTATTCACTGGTTTGATTAGAGGCTATCGAAACAGTAAGGGGAAGGCAACTGCATTTGTAAGTACTTATGTATCAACTTTTAGGGTGCTTCTATTTTATAGAGCATTTGCTCCAAAAAGGTTTACACCATAATTTTTTGATTAATTATTTTGCCGCCCAAATTATTTTATGAGTCTCTAAATTTTTTTAAAGCCCACTTATAAAAGAAACCAAAACAGGCCCTTTACTTATCCATATTTCACTTTCTGAAAAATAAAGGCCTTTTGACAAAAGAAAATAAGAAAATGGGCTTCTTTTTGTTTTCAATTCCCTAACAAAATCTTATAAAATATGAAAGTCCAAATATAATATTAAATCCAGAAAAAGAGGTTCTAGCGTGCTGTTGATACACCACCATTAATTCATTCATCGATTATGGATACCATGTTGATGTACTTTGTATTATTATCTTTTCACCGAAGACATAAGCTTCGTTATTATTACATTGGAGGAAAGAAACCCCACCTAGGGTTCAATCCTGGGTGGGTGCCGGGGGGTGGGGTCTCAATATTTCTCTTTGTACAGGGCTTTCAAAATCAATGGACATGCCCTAATTGTGCCATGACTAGCAAAACCCTAAGCAAAATGGATTACTTCTTCGAAGGAAAGATACGTTGAAAACCTATTACTTCTACTCATAGAAAGCAGTAAAATTTAATAAAGAAAGCGTGATGTGCGGTCCCTTCTATGTTCTTAAAAACTTGTATTTATAGGGTTCATTTCCTTGGATTAAAATCATTTTCAGTAAAAAAGAGACTAAAACACAAATTTCACAATGGTTTTTCACCAAAACATCTTAGCATTAACCTTACCAATTGATCTAAATGATACTCACTACTACATTTTAGGCTTTGCGCGACGAAGGCAAGTTCGTCGTGCAAAGTTAACTTTAGTCGCACATAATTCTGCGCGACAAAAGTTTCATCGCGCACATTCCATCGCGCAAATATCGTGAAGAAAGACTTTGCGCGACCAATTTATTTCATTCGTCGCGCAAAAAAGTGCGACGTAGCACCTTCGTTACAGAAAATGTTTCGGGACGACACAAATGTCTGACGCACAAACTTTTGCGTGACGAAAGGGTATTCGTCGCAGCAAGACTGAGCGACGGACAGTTTCGTCGCGCGAGATTCATGTCCCAGACATTTGCGCGACGAAAAGTCC